CGGGCTGATGCCCCAGGGTGTCCTGGCAGCAGGATGAGCCCTTTCCTTTCTGCAGCAGGGCTGTGGGGATGGTTCCCTCCCTGCCTGCAGCTCCAGCCAGCCATGGAGCTGAGGGGGGGTCCAGGGGCCCACAGCCCCCCCACCCCAATGATGCAGCACTCCCCCCACACCCCTCCAGTGGGAGAAGACCCTGGTGACACCAGCTGGGAGGGCAGAGGGGAGCAGCCAAGTGGGCACAGCATTGGGGACACATCCTGGGGCACACAGCACAGCCCAGGTGGGCCCTGGGGGTCACGGCACAGCTCCTGGCACATCCTGGGGCACACGCTGGGGGGCAAGACCCATCCGGAGGAGCTTCCCAACACACATCCTGGGGCACGTGCACATCCTGGCACCCATCCTGGGGGTGCCACAGCACATCCCAGGGCACCCAGCACGGGCACCAAGCACATCCCAGGGCACACAGTGACGTGCAAAGCACATCCCAGGGTGCCCAGCAGGACACAAGGTGCATCCCAGTGCGGATCCTTGGGTGCACCTTGGGGACATAGGGCTCATCCCACAGGCACCGGGCACATCCCGGGGTGCATCCTAGGGCACATGATGGAGGCATAGGGCACATCCCGAGGGAGCATTCCAGGGATATAGGGCACACTCCAGGGGCGTATCCCAGGGCTGCATCCTTGGGGCACAGGGTGCATCCCGGGGGGTACGGGGCTCATCCCAGGGGCATATCCCAGGGACACAGGGAACACCCTAGGGGTGCATCCCGGGGGTGCAGGGCACATCCCAGGGACGCAGGTACTGGCAGCACAGGACGCATCCTGGGGCACATCCCGGGGGCACAGGGTGCATCCCGGGGGCACAGGGCATATCCCAGGGATCCATCCCGGGGCGCATCCCGGGGGCACCAGGCCCATCCCGGGGGGCATTCCGGGGATCCATCCCGCGGGCAGAGGGCACATCTCGGGGATCCATCCCGGTGGCACAGGGAGCATCCCGGGGGCACATCCCGGGGTGCATCCTGGGGATCCATCCCGGGGGCAGAGGGAGTCCCAGGGCTGCATCCTTGGGGCACAGGGTGCATCCCGGGGGGTACGGGGCTCATCCCAGGGGCATATCCCAGGGACACAGGGAACACCTAGGGGTGCATCCCGGGGGTGCAGGGCACATCCCAGGGACGCAGGTACTGGCGGCACAGGGCGCATCCTGGGGCACATCCCGGGGGCAGAGGGCGCATCCCGGGGGCGCAGGGCATATCCCGGGGGGCATTCCGGGGATCCATCCCGCGGGCAGAGGGCACATCTCGGGGATCCATCCCGGGGGCAC